ATCAAATCCACCTCCACGACCAGGCCTACTACTGTTAACAAACCTGTAACAGAACACATCATCATGCAAAAAGCAACACTTAAGCAACACCAAAACAGCAACATCAGTTATCTGTCTTTGTCATCAATTGAAAGACTACTTTCTTATAGCAGAAATTGTTGTTCTATAAATAATCTATAATGGCCAGTACTCACCCACAGTGTACAGTCATTGACTCTGTTATGTCAAAAGAGTCATTCCTCTGCTTCAAAGAACGGTATCCACCAAAGTCTGAACCTCGATGAGTTTCACTTTTAGTAGAGTTCTCCCCTTCCACAAAAGTCAAATGTTGAAGCACTGGAGATGCCGATGGTAAACTTGGCATACTTGCTTCAGCTTGCTTGTTTGACAGATAACATACTGGACAAGCTAGTACATGTAAAAGGAGAAGTAACATTAACCACGGACCAACATCCAAAAACTGGAAGAAAAAAAAATGACAATTGAGAATTCAATGGGGAAGAATGCTTTCCGTACATATAATTAATTTCCATTTTTTAAAAACTATAAATTTTAATTGAATTCAAATTTCATCAATCGCCGATATATAAATAAAATAAAATAAAACAATTAGAACTTTGTGCTTTTGCCAAATCCGCAGTGTTTTTTCTATCTCAATTCACAACTTTAAGTGTAAAGAGAGAAATTTCATAACTTGTTGAATGTAATCAATCATACATTTGGGCTATATGGACCAGAGAGGTTCGATCAATATATGGCCAATCAATACTGAGAAACTCAATCTAACTTCTATGCAAAAATCAGAGCTAATATACAATAGATTCATGAGCCTTACGTCTTGGTCCGATCCGTTTAGTGCTATGTGGAGGAGGAGGGGGAAAAGTGAAGTTTTTGCATGGATGAACCCCAGGATCTATGATAAACGCAAGAGATTTTCCACTGTTCCTATTCCCGGTAATTTGTAATGTTGAGTTGTCTCCATCCTTCGTAAGATTCTTTGATGTAGGAGTTGAAGATAGGGAACTGATAACACTTATTCCACGAACTTTTGTCTCCTGAAGAGCTTCAAGGAAACCTTTATGGTTGCTACCAGTTGTTTCTACACATAGAACTTCAAAAGGTTACACCATTGCCAAACACACAACAAAATGCTATAATTATCTTGGTTGCATCAGATAAGATATCTTGTCCTAAAATCAAGAACTTCAAATAGTCCAACGCAGAAAAGTCACAGGGGAAAGATAAAGATGCAGAAGCCAGAAACACTATCATGTATAATATGCTTAAAAATAATTTCACCTTCAATCCATCTGAAAAATAATACTACTAATAAGCAACATAGTAAGTGTACTTCCAACAACTTAAGGACAAAAAGTTTACAATCATCTGTAAAATATTAATGCAGACAGCTTGTATACTATATTTTAGTTCAACAGAGAGATCATACAATGGGGTCAAACGCAAGCTCAAAGTCACTAAATAGCATGATTACTGAAGGACAATTAAGCAAAATAAAGCATACTGTAACAAACCTTTGTTAACTGTAAAGAAGCCTGAAGCAAAAATCAGCAGGGCAAAGACAAACAGTATCACCATTCCAATTTTTCCTCGGCACAAGTATCTGCAAACAAATGGGATGCACCTTTCCCTTTCCTTTTCCCTGTAACTTGAAAGTTGCACTTTGGACGACTTCCGTGAGAAGACATAGGAGGTATGAGTCTGCAATACGCCATTCGATTGCTGTAATTGCAGTGATCCATTACTTCCGGTACGTAATCCCAATGACTTAGTGGTCATTGTATCTTCAAACCCACAAATTGACCTCTCATTGCCCTATTCCCCAGTACCCCCTCTCACATCAATGTAAAATATTAACTCCCTATGCAAATTTTGCTATGGCTTCAACTTTTCGATAGTTCACCAACTTATTCACTCGTAAATCAATCCCAAATAACAATGCAATTCAATAATCTGAACCACGAAAAAAAAAAAAAAAATCCAACAAAATCAAAAAATCTTGCATTTTACACAACCCAATATATTCATCAAAACAACAATTCAAATTGAAGATATAATATGAATTTACCAATCAATAAATCAATCAGTCAACAATGAATTCCAAGCGCAAATTTAATCAGTAATCTGAATCACAAAACATTAATCGATTTCAGTAATAAACGCAACATTTTCATACCAATGCTGCAATACATCATAATTTTCAAAAGAAACTACAGATTGAGCAACAATGCTAAAAATCAAAACAATCAAAAATTCATAAAATTGCGACATTACCTTAAAATTAGCAGAATTATGAGCAAATCGCTCAATCAGTAGTAGAAGCCGGGATATTCGGAAGATTAGATTATCGAATTCGGCAAAAAATTCAAATCAAATAAATCTAGGGTTCTTGCGAAAAGGATCGAAATTATAGGGTTTTTTTTTTATTGGGGGTAAAAATGATAAGAATGGTGAAGAAAGATTAGTACTATAGAATTTGGATAGGATTAAAACCAAAATTTTATTGGCGTGATATTCTAAACAGGTGTGTCAGGGAATAATTTCATTTAATATTATAATTAATGTGTTTTAATAATTGTATCTTTTGTTTAAGGGAAGTTTTAATTAATATCTTAATCTTAATGATATGATGATATGATATGTCATTTATTGTTTTATTATATTGCACTTTCTCAACATTTTCCCATGCATGTTCAACGGCTCTTATATGGTAGATCCAGGCCGGGGCCGGGGCCGGGGCCGGTGCCGGTGCCGGTACCATGTCACTAGAGACGGGCAGGCGGGCCGCAGGCAGGGCGGGTGCAAAAACCCTATTTAAATTGTTTTTCTCTCCGTTTTGTATTATTTGCACGCTTTGGCACACATGGTAATGTATAACTTTGATCATTAATAATACTTCTACAAAAATAAAAGTATAGTCAAAGTAAACATATAAATAGTGCAAAAAGTCAAATTGTTGCGATTATTACGAAAATAGAGTTAATATTGCTGTCCCAAATCATTATCGCCTTAGCGACTTGATTATCCACACCAACTTAATACTCAAATTACCTGTCCTAAAATTCACTTTAAAGGCTTGAAGTCAAATTAAATTTGAATATAACACATAATTAAGTATATTATACTAATATAATTGCATTTTATTTTTTTGCGTAAATAATCTACTAAATTTTTACATTTTTAAAAATTATTTTCTAAACATGAGAAATTTGAATTTTTTTTTTTTTTTGAAAGAAGAAATTTGAATATTTAAAACTAGTGAACTTGGAGTTGAACTTAAAAGGGGCATGTACGTACACCTACACCACCAACTTTGACAAAAGCGTTGAGCATCTTTCCCATCTCAGCACATTAGCCATCAAACTTTCCAATCATCCCCCTACCCCCCCACCTGTATGAATTGGATGAGGCTCATCACTAAGATAATAACGTCAAACATGAGCCCCTTAGTGCACAAATTTGGGTATATGGTGTGTGGAGATAATACTATTGGGTTTGAGAAGTGTAGACAATGGTTTAAGGCATGAGCAAAAGGGCATGGAAGAGAGGGTGTTGCGCACTAAGGAGAATATATCCACACGCGCAACCCAAAAAATGTTTCTGCAGGAACAAAAGCAAGTGCTTGAAGCCTGAAAGGAGCCCTTGCGCGTGCAACAGGAGGGTCGTTTTAAGCATGTGCAAAGCCCAAGTTCGCGCACGTGATCGGTCAGTTTTTGCGAGTTTTACTTCGTGGTTTATATATCTTTGCATGCTCGTAGAATTGCTTATTATGTCTTGCATGCACTATATATATACTCATGTTATTTCATTATTAGGTCATGACGAGAGATTGATATTGAGTGAGAAATAGTCTGTTGTACATAATTGCTCATACGTCCTCTTAGGGTTTAAGATAAAGAGTGAATTGAGAGGTGCAAACTCTCATGGTGTATTAAGATCATATCTTGCATTCATTCACCATCAAAGTTTTACTCCATAGTGGATGGATTGGTGAGTTTTTCTCCCAACACTCCGGTAATAAATAAATTATACGAAGTAAAAAAATTGATTTTATGAAACTCATGTTGAGAAGTATCCAACAATATATATCTCCCATGAATGTACATATTAATGATAGTTTTTTTTTCCTTAAATTTTTAAAAATTTGACCATGAAAAAACAAGTTACTATATGATGGGATGGAGGGAGTATAATCGGAGTATCTAAAAACTTTGAAATACTTTTAGGATTTTTTGTGAGAAACTACCTAATAAAATCCGGTTTTTGTAAGAAACTACCTATATAAAAAATGTTGTAAAAAACTGCCTATTAAAATGCAAAATGTTGTAAAAGACTACCATAGGTTGGAATCTCGTCGTTAAATTTTTTCTCTGACGTTGACCAGCCCACTTGACCCTCACTGATGTTCTGCCTTTTGTTGCTGGACTTGCTGCTCAGGCACGTTGATGTTGTTGTTGTTGGTTAATGATGTTGGTAGACTACATATGGCTTGACTAAAATTGATCTTCAAAATTAATGGCTGAAAGCATGTGCTTAAGGGTGAGGTGGTTGTGTTGAAGAGTAGAGTTTGCTGCTTGGTACTGAGAAGCTAAGAAGAGGCTGATGGATAAAAATTGGAGAAAATTGGGTGGATAAGGGGTTAGAAAAAGTCATGTGAGGGTGCAGTGGGCTGGTCAACGTCGGATAAAAAAGTCAACAGCGAGATTCCAACCTATGATAGTCTTTTACAAAATTTTGCATTTTAATAGATAGTTTCTTACAACATTTTTTATATTAGGTACGTAGTTTCTCACAAAAACCAGATGTTATTAGGTAGTTTTTCACAAAAAAAAATCCTTACTTTTATATGAACCAAAACTTTAATATGTATTATTCAGAATATTTTAGTTTGGCTTATGTGTATCAAGAATTCATAAATTTCCATTAATCATACAACTGCAACATTATGCGTGCATGGTAAAAATTAAGATGAGATGCTGAGATTAAACATTTAATAATAGATAAAAAGTTCATCATTCATATAGAATTTTTAGTACAAAGAACAAGAGTAGTACTAGTACATCATAACTCATTAATTAGACATATCGATCATAAACAGGTGATATGCCATTTATTATTTTACTACAAACTCCTGCATGCATGCATCAGATAGCTAGGGATCGGACTATATCGGAGTACTCAGATTTCCAATTCCTCTTCGCTTACTTGCTCGATCATCCTGTGTCATCAAAGCCAAGCAACATTAATTAATTAGCAAAATTAACATGATTAATTATTACCAACTGTCTAATAATTTATCAGTATTTATCCCTCTGTCCCTTATTTACATGCCTACTTCCCATTTTACACGGGAATTAAGGAACTTAAAAGTCATGATTGGGAAGTACAAATATGTATGTGGGGTTAGAGAGAGATAGAGAGAAAGAGAATGTAGTTGGTAATTATTGAAGGGATGGAGAGAGAAAGTGTTGGAAAATAATATCAAAAGTACAAAAAAAAAAAAAAAAAAAAATCAATGACAACTCATCAAAAAGAGGGAATATTGTCAAAAAGTAAATTGTTAAAATAAAAATAGGCAGATAATTTTGAAACCCCCAAAAAAGAAAGTAGACATATAAATAAGGGATGGAGGGAGTAGTATCGATCTAATTGCTCAAAAAAGTTATGGGGTCGTCGTACATGCCCCTGATTCCCTAATCTCATATGATGTGGGGTGTTTTATTAGACTTGGCAAAACAAATCCGTAGATAAAAATCTAAATTTCCTACACGACTCTGATATATACATGTGAATTTTACAAAACAGAATTTAATGACCAAAATTGAAGTAGACATCTTCATATGAGACTTCACATGACACAAATATCACATGACACAAATAAAAAGTTATATACATCTAAATTTTCTATTGTAAATTAAACAGAATTTTCTACACGACTCTGATATATACATCTAAATTTTCTATTATAATCAGAATTTTCTACACGACTCTGATATATACATCTAAATTCTCTATTATAATAAAAAGTTATTAGATGCGAGTCACATATTTCAAATATCACACGACAAATATAATAATCCGAGTTAATATTGGACTAACTTGATGATGACAAAAAGTTCAAACCAAATATTGGACTTAAACACTAAACCTCAATCAGATTAGCCTATTTGTATTCGTCAAAAAAAAAAAAAAAAAAAAAAAGATTAACCTATATTTGTAACCTCTAATGTTGACACTTATATTTTGATCCATGACAAAAACAAGTTTGTTAAATACAAAAATCTTACCATATTAATCACTGTCACTGCCACTGCTGTCACCACCATGATGTCCAAAATGGTGTTTCTTGCTCTTCTTCTTGTAACCCATCCCATGGTGTCCACTTCCATGGTGCATGAAACCTTGAGCCATGCCGCCTAACCCGGCACCGTGACCATAAAACGGGGTGGCGTGGTGGTTGTTATGATGACCATGATGGTTAGCATCATGGCCACCATAATATGGGACGGCGGCAGCGTGGTAGTTGTCATAGCCATGATGGCCTCCACCATGGCCGTGATACGGGACAGTGTGTTGGTTGTGGTGGTTGTCGGTATGGTATACGCCGCCTACGCCTTGGTGGTGGTTGTAGTGGTCAGTTTGACCAGGGTAATAGGGATATGAGTTCATTGCTAGTAGTACACTTAAATTGGCTAGTAGAAGATAAGTTGTTTTGATAGGTTTTTTTAGAGGGAATAGATTGCAATTGTAAGTTGTAACAAAGGAGTTTCGCACTCTTTTATAGGAGTTTGATAGTGGGGGAGAAGGCGAACATATACTCCATATTTTCTATTTTTTATTTTGTTAAGAGAATTTATACTCTGAATTATTTTTCTCCCATAAATTCTATAAGTACTGAATTATTATTACTCCTATTATTATTACTAGTCTACTACTACATACTTCTCTCCCCTTAACTAGCTACGGCTACCTATCTTCGGTTCAACTTCTTTCTTTCCTTTTTTTTTTTTCAGTGGTGCCGAGGGGCAAGGAAAAACAAACAGAAATAAAACTACTAAGCTAGAGACTACTACTACAAACAAAACTACTCATTATTCTCTAAAACTCTTCTAGAAAAAACAACTCCACGCAAGTCCTCCAATAAAACGGTTTAATGATCTACCGAGACCGCTTTAAATATGATCAAATCAAACAATATAATAGCATGTCTATACAACAATACGAATATAATGAAATCTTATTTAATAATGTTTCATCTTAAAAATTATTGTACAAATATAGTCATAATCTAGTCAAATATTATTGTACAAATAAAGTCATAAACTAGTCAAATCAAAAAATTAAATCAGACCACTCCAGGTGATGAACAAAGGACATTGTAAAAATACGTTATAAATAAAGTCATAAACTTGTGAAATTGATGTGAGCAGGTGACTGTCTATTTTAGGTGTCGTTTGGTTGTTATGAGAATTTACTTCCCATAGAAAGTTGTATTTCATGGAAATTAAATTCCTACATCAAATTCATGGGAATTGCATAAAGTTATTTGGTTAAGGAAGTTGCAAATCATGGGAATTTAGACTTAGCTAGGGGAGGTTAGGTAATTAACTTCCCATATTTTGTGGAAAGTCACAATTCCCATGAATTTACAATTTCCTCATTTACACTTTTATTGTTAACCAAACAACTCATCCATTTTCAAATTCCTATGATTTTCCACTTCTCCCATTTTCTTTGCGTAACCAAACAACCCCTTAAAAAATGACTCACTAATTCACCATTGAAAGTCCGCCTCACCTGTAATTGATGGTGTGACATCTTAGTTTTGAGCTAAAAATTATTTCCTTTGTTCATGTTTACTTGACATGTTTCTTTTATCACACTTGTCAATGCAAAACTTTAACGATCTATAACTTTAATTCTCCATAAGTAAAAATTATAAAAGTTATATTTTATGATAGTAGTTATTGAGACAAATTCAAAAAGATCTCAAATGAATATGTTTTTCCTTACATATTATTCACAAAAAACGGTTTAAGGACATGTGGTGAATAATGTAAAAATCCAAACGGGTCAAGTAAAAAAAACTCCAAAAATATGGTATATATTCTTATCTTTACTGCTCAGAAAATCTGACCTTCCTGAAATTTCAAGCGAATTTGTCACAGCTAGTGGACAAAAAAATATGTTATTTTTAATTGAATTTTCCTTTTTAATGGATTTGGGAATCATACATATTGATATTAATAATATATGCTGCCTTTGGTTAAATTGCTTACTCCTCCATCCCATAATACTTGAGACGTTGGGTTGGACACATAGTTTAAGAAAACTACCTACAAGTGGGTTTATTTAAAACATTTTTTTTTAAAGCAAGGTTCATTTAAAACATTTGTTTATTATACTGTATAAAGGATTATCTTTTGTATTTTTATATTGTAATAAAACAAAAAGTAGGGGAGCTGGTGGAGGTAGTGAGGAGAGAAAATGTAGGATTTAATTGGGTTTTGGGGTTTGTGGTCCCAAAGAGAGTATAAAAAAATATTTATTTATTAATGATCTCATTCCATATTTAATAACGCGTCAATTATTTTGAGACAAACAAAAATGATAACTATGTCAAGTATTATGGGATCAAGAGAGTACAACATTATGCAATCATGGACTCATAGTTAACCAAAGAGTCCCAATTCTTCATAGTAGTGAAACATTTGGAAAGGAAGAATCACTAAAAGAAATAAAAAAGAAAAAAGGTCCAACAGTTTTATCAGAATCAGATGGAATCGAATTTGATGCAATGATAATGTATTTTTTTTTTTTTTTTCAAGTTTAATGGAATAGACATGTTTAACAGAATATTAGTGCTACCCTAGCAAAAGTGACTCATACTCAATTATTCAACCCGAAATATCCTAATTGTGAAACCCAAGCTCAACCTAAAATTATTTGACCAAAATTTGACCAGATCCAAATTAAATCAACTCGATCTGCAAATTTTGACACGCGTACAATAATGTTAATGGTGCACTCAGTCAATATATAAACTTATGTTCATTGGGGTTAAACTCTTTGTTATTAAAGCGGTCAATATATGTTCTTTTACATTATATTCTTTTTAATATGGGACATATTATTTTGGTTATGGACTACTATTATATGAGACAAAGAAATAAGGAAATTTGTAAATATACTCAATCCACCTAATATAGAAAAATCCACTTTAAATACATGAAGGCCGGGTAGGTGAGAGATAAAGCGGGTGACAGATGGTTGGGATGGGTTTGGGGGGAGCTTTGCTTCCATTCTCTATTTTTTGGAATTTTTTTAAAGGGTAAAGAGGACACTAACTAGACATCAACCCTCACATATCGGTTTTTTGGTCTAGTATTAACAAGTCATACACTTAAGAGTACAAGGGAGGATAGGGGAATCTCTACCTCCTAGTACCCTTACTTAGTAGGATTCAAACCCTCTTTAGGATTGGAAAAATTGATATTAATAATCTCAACTTTGCCCCATTTTCTTTTAATAATCCCAACTTTGGATTATTCTGGAATAATTCCAACTTTGGAGGGGGGTGTTTGCTTTCTTCAATCTCAAACTGGTCAACAAAAGTCAATGACCTATTATATTAGGTAACTTGACACGTGTAAAGTTTTGATTGGTCCAAAAAATAAAAAAAAAATAAAACAAAAACCACAAAACCACAAAACACCACCAGCACTCCTCCCTTTCCCCACTGGCCCACCTTAACCCCACCATTGCCCAGGCCGCCGGCCGCCGCTGGATTCCTCGCCGGCGTCGCCGATTTACCCCCTCCCGAAACCCCCTCTCATTATTCCCCCAAGCAACACCAAGCAAACCCCTCCCTCACTCCCAAAAACTCCAAACCGCCCCTCCCCCACCATGAAACCCTAGCGGCTAGGGTTTTTGATGGTGGGGGAAGGGTGTTTGGGGGTTTTCGAAAGTGGGGAAGGTGGTTTTTTGGCGCTTCGAGTGTTTCAAGGGAGATTTGATGGTGGAGGAGAGTTGGAAAACAAGGGAAGGAAGGCGGTGAGTGGGTGGGTCGAATCACCGGCGCGGAGGGAGAGGGGAAACCGGCGCAGGGGAGGGGGATAGTGACGTCGTAGGGGAAGAGAGGGATGGCGGCAGCCGGCCGGCGTCTAGGTTATGGTGGCTGATTGGTTGGGCGTGAAGTTTGGCTGGGTGGGTTTTTTTTTTTTTAATTTCTTTAATTTTTTGTTTTTGAAATTTTTTAACAATAAAATTGCGCCACGTGTCTTTAAAGAAAAAAAAAAGAGATAAACGGTCATTGGGATTGAAGAAAGCAAACACCCTCCAAAGTTGGGATTATTAAAAGAAAATGGAGCAAAGTAGGGATTATTAATATCAATTTTTCCTTTAGGATTATTTGAGGAAAGAATTTTATCAAATGAGCCAATATTTTATTAGTCTATTTTTCTGGATGTGCTTGAACAAATTTGAGATACAAAGTATGATTTACAAAGTTCCTTATTTTTCGATCTCCATGACTTTCTACATTATTCAGAGCACGTATAAGTTTCATGCATCTTCTTGAGTTACAAACTGGTTTATGCTCATGGCTTGTGTGAGGTGAGTAACCTTTTTTTGGGCCAATGCGTGCACAATTGAGAATCCTGTTTTTGTAAAACTCTTAAATTGTTGAAAGTTTTGAGTGAATTGATTCTTAAGAATAGATATTCCAATCTCTCTATTGGAAAACTCATGGCCACTCAATTAAAAATTCAATCAAAATAGAGAGACTAGAAAATCTTTATATTACTATGATAAATTAATTTATATATGATTCTCTAAATCAATTCAAGATCACATTATTCACATATAATGGTAATTTTAAATTGAAAGAAATGCGTAAGCCTAAAATAAGAATATGTACCATTAAGCCCATTATGGAATAATTCATAAAATATAGTATAGTGAATGCAAAAGAAAAATACCCATCAACAAAGAATACCTATAAAATTAATGTTAATACTTCTCTTATAGCAAACCAGCAAAAAATCCTACATCAATTACAAAAAAAATGGCTACAATTCAATTGTGTAAGCCTGCTCAAGTTAGTTGTGATCAAACTAAAAACCTGAAAACCGGGCAAAACAATGAGAAAAAACTTCACTTCCACTTCTGGCAGAAGCATGGGAATGAGAAGAAAAATGAGCAAGCAACTAACAAGCATCAAAACGATGTTGGACACCCTAATTACAAGCATGTGACATTTGAGCACAAAAATGAGCATGGGCAAGCTGCCAATAAGCCGTGCCACGATGTTGGACACCCTACGCAAGGGAATACCGAGGTCAAAGTTGTGCATGGGCAAGCGCAAGGGCAAGCTGCTAATAACAAGCAGCATCACGCACTGGCGGAGCCAGGATTTTCAAATTGGGGGGACAAATTATGGATATAATATAAAAGCGAAGACAGTTGCATTATAATGTATTTAATCCTGATATACCAAAGCACCAACAAGAATAGAAGTATAAGCAATCACATGATAATGCACTAACAGGATTATAAGCAAAGGATATCACAAAATCTAAAGTGTTGCACATAATGACACTTAATCAACAAAAACATAATAAAAGCAGAACCAAATATACTTGCCTAATGGAAGTCCATTTAATATGGGCAGCTCCCAAAGATTGTGTTTGTACATAAAAATGGCTAAATGTTGTTCCTTCACCGATGATCACCTCAAGAACATAATTAGTCCAATAACACTTGTTACCATCTCCACCTAAAAACACCTCAACTATACCCACCTCTCCTCCCTTCTATCAACACCAATACTCTCGGGTTCGAAACCGGCAACATATTCGACTCGGCATCACTCCCTTTCAGTGAGAAAGACCTCAAATTTAAAGGGGCATCAACTCGGCACCCTTCAGGCACATAAATAAAGATCAAATCAGGAGCACCAACCCCATTTAAAGACCAAAACAAATCCCCTTCAATATTTGACACAAATTCCGATACCCTTTTCAGAATATATAGCCTCAGAAAATAAGTAAAGTATGGGGAGAAAGAAAGGGTTATTGGGTTAACAATTAAAATTGCAAATTGGGGATTTCAAATTTTCAATTAGAAGAACAAATTAATATATTTAAGAGTTAAGACATACCTTTAGATGCAGCGAAGACCAGAAGATGACCGAGGCGGCGACTGGCGACTGACGGACGACCGACGACGATGAGGGGTTTGGCAGGCAGCGACCGAGCGACAGACAGGACTTTGGTTTTTTAATTTTGGTGACTGTCGAACGGAATTGAAGGCTGTCCGCTGTGCGCTGTCGTCTGTCGAACCTCGTCATTGACCTCACTGCTGCGAACTGCCGGAGAACGGTGGACAGCGTCAGGCGACTCTGGCGAGGTGAGGGCGAATCGAAGAGAGAGAAATTAAAAATTGAAAGACTTAGGGTTTGGCTGCAAATGTCGCACAGAGCACTCTGTAATTGCGTTTTTTTGTTTTTTTTTTTTTAATTTTTTTTTTTTAATTTTTTTTTTTTGAAAATGGGGGGACAAGTGTCCCCACTCGTCCCCTTCTAGCTCCGCCCCTGGCATCACGAGGTGACTACGAGTAACCCTAGGAGTCACAAGTTAAGGCAGTGCTTCGGCCATGGGGCCGCCGGCCTTGCAGATTCGGACGTTGATGAGGAAACAGAAACAATTGTTATTGAGAGGAAAATAAAAGAAAGGGTGGTCATTAGCCATGTTAAGAAGTGTCATGATCACAAGGAAGGATCCAAGCATTTAGACGTATGACATATATAATTCAACTCCATTTTTACTTTTTTGCCTTAATAAAGTTTGCAGTAAAAAGTACAAATCTGAAATTTCTAACTATTATTTTTGTTGTGTTGTTACATGCAGAGATGCTAATTTGTGGATGGAGTTGCTGAGGATTATAAACAAGCCAAAGTATTAATATATTGAGTGAAAGTTTGTACTTTTTTTTATCTAATGAATTTGCACTGTGTTTGTAATGTTATCTTTTTCAATACAAAATAAATAATACTCATACTAATATGATTTATTTACATGTTTTAAAATTTAAGATATTATATATGATTGGATTCAAATTATTTTTCATTTTTACAAGAGACACTGAAATTATATAACTGCAAAATTGATGGAAATAAATTAAATCACTTTAAAAGGAACTAATACTTTGGCCAAATTATCGAGACAAAACATGAAAATCGTCTCATCTCCTTATGATACAATAAAATAAAAATAATAAAAAAAAAGTGTGGATGTCAATTAGTTTAGTTGGTTAAGGTTTTGAAGGAGAACCCTTTGGTATTGAATGTGGTTTAGCTTTCTTTACACGAGAGAAAGAGAGATACGATAATTAAGAAAAAGATATGTCCTTAACGTTGCACTAAACATAATGATTCTTGAAAACACATAAATAGGGAATGGATGCGTGCAACATGAGATGTGATTCGACTTTGGTTGGATTATCCAAAAAATGATAAGTGTCCGCCTGACCGGTTAATGAACACAATAACACAAACACATTGGCTTGATCATGTATAGTACAGTACAACAAATAGTTAGTTATTTCATGGAGTAACACTGTAACACATAGTAAATACATGATGATGTAGTAGTTTCTAGTAGTACAAAGTTGGGTTTCATTTATTCTTAGGAAAAGTAAGACTTGTACATAGATTCTGGTTACACATTACATTACATATTACTTCGTACATATTACAACCAAATCATCACACATTATACAAGCCATAAGTAAACAAACTGCCGATAGATTTTCCAGGCCAAGACTTCAGTCACACCTCTGCATAAACCAAATATGGCACAATAAATTCAATCAACACAAAATAAACTTCAAAATTTCTTCCAAAATAATTCAACTTTAAAAACTCTTAGATAAAATAAAAATACAGACCTTCCTAGGCTCACAGCGTTCATGATCACTGTCACTGTCGCTGCTGCTGCTGCTACCATCATGGCAACGCCCCTCTCGGTTCTTCTTCTTCTTGTGAAACATCCCGGTGATCTTACCGATTATCCCCTGCTCATGATGATGCTGGGTATGCTTTGGCGCGCCTGCAACCGCAACGTCCTCATGCTTATAAACCGAGCTATATTCAGACACACCATGCTGGTTGATTTTGGCCTGTTCAGCACCATAGTAGGAGTTTTTATCATACACTACTGGTCTGCATGAGGCCATTTCGAATTAAACTAGTTTAATTTTTGTTATTTCTTTTCTTTACTACAGTCTTATTGTTTGATGCTGAGAAAATTACAATTCATGGGGTATTATATAGAAATGCAGGATTTGGTAGGTTTACATAAACATCATCTAGAAATTGATCACTTAGAAAAAAATAACAAAAAAATTATCAGCATATTAGCATATATTCTGCCTTTTCTATGATATGCCATTTGTTGATGGAATTTAACTATAAATCACATCTTGTAGGTCTGTAAGTAGTTCGAATTCGGCTGATATTTATGAATGAAATAATCACTATGTAACAGACTCTAAACACTGACCAAAGGGTTGGTGTTGGGACTGTTGGGGGTATGCAATCTAAGTTACACATGGAAAGAATAAGCTAAGGAAGAGAAGACTTCTAAATACTCGTAAGAGCACACTACATTAGTACTTATGAGGCCTTTTGGAAAGGATCATTGCCCCAAAATAAATTTGTGTGGCTAGGCCGAACAATATCATACTAATGCAGAATTGTGGTGTGCGTGCAGCCCAACAAGCTAAAGGTGGATGACTCTACATCACTTGAACTAAATTAGATTACAACCAATTTTATATACAACAGGGAAGTTTATTAGTTTATATATGCTTGATGTTAACCCTACAATATTGCGGTTTTTTTAGTTTTTGGTAAGAAGAAGGAACCTTTGTTAAACCAACACCTTTCATAGGTTAGCAGCCAGTTACAGAAGCCAACGCTTGAAATTAAAGGGGGGACGGTAAGGGAATCCCCATGTACTCCCAAGCATATGTATGTAGTTGGTCGAGCTTAAATTTGTGACCTTAATGTCACAATTAAGGTGAGTTCCCCATCAACAACTCCACCAAGCTATTTTTTGGTTAAGGTATCGCATTTATTGAGTATGATTCAATCCCTATACGCTTCCCTCATATGTAACAACAAGTTTGAGACCAAAGACAACTAATGCCAAAAATATACACCAGAAAACTTCACATGTTATACAAACCACAGAGTTGATCCCTCAAATTCCGCCTGTAAGTTTGTGTTTGTTAGTGAATTCGCGACCCATGCATCTTCTTTGTGTTTAAAGCTGCTTGATGGAGAGGTACAATCCATTGTAAGTAGGCCATCTTACCATGTTCCTTGCTTGTTCACGTTCTTCAATTATCATCTCACTTGCATTGTGTGGTTGTGTATGTGGTTATGCATTTTCTTGTTTCGTTTATTTGTGTGGCTTTCCTGTTTCAACTCATTTTATTTTTTTATCGTGCCAATATCACTTGCTTGCTACTTTACTAGTCCATGCTCTAGCGTACCTCCGTTGGCGGTAATATGTCACTACTTCGATTAAGTGATGGTATTGATGGGAGGGGATATGGATACATAGATTTTCTAATGTAAATACAATTATAACGGGAAAAAGTAGGGCTGGCAAACCCTGACCCGACACGAAAACCCGACCCGAACCCGACCCGAAGTTACTGAGAGAGACCCGAACCCGACCTGAACCGAACCCGAACAACCCGAATTCGACCCGATTTGACCCAAATTTCATATTTCGTAATAATATTAAGTTTTACACTATTTTTAATAGTTTCTAAGCATAACCCGAAATCGACCCGAAATCTGACCCGAACCCGACCTGCTGACCCAAATTGCCACCCCTAGGAAAAAGAGTTATCAATGTCACTATTGCATTGAGCAATGGGAAATAAATGTAATCTTGTTACAAAATATAATAATTGTGTATGCCCATTATAGTTTGTAACTCCCTCAATAATATGACTACCTTTGTAAATTCCTTGTAACCCCCATATGTCATTAGTTCACATTGTAACCCCCTCATGAATGGACTCTTTATTGTCCATATAGGTTACATTGTTCACATTGTGTATATATATAGATGGTCTAATGAAATGGATGAAAAACAAAAACAAGGATTTACCATCTACATCTATCTCTAATATTCTCCCTTTCTCCTTATTTTCATAACACGTTATCAGCACATGATACAAGAAGAAATTCAGGTACCTGAAAATGAAGAAATTTCAATAAATTATATCATGTCTGGAATTACATGGAACCGAAATCAAATCGACATCAATGTTGTTTTTGCTTACAATGTAGCATTAAATGTTAATAATGAGGATCATGAACCAAAATCCATTAACGAATGTAAACAAAGAAATGATTGGCCAAAATGGAAAGAAGCAATTGAGGCAAAATTAAATTCTCTAGGAAAAAGAGAAGTATTCAGACCTGTAGTCCGTACACCTTGAGGTGTAAAGCCAGTGGGATATAAATGGGTCTTTGTGCGAAAGAGAAATGAAAAGGGTGAAGTTGTAAGACATAAGGCACGATTGGTTGCACAAGGATTCTCACAAAGGTCTGGTATTGATTATGAGGAGACATACTCTGCTGTGGTAGATGCGACTACTTTTAGATTTCTGATTAGTCTGGCAATAAGAGAAAGACTTGACTTACGTTTGATGGATGTAGTCACAGCTTATTTATATGGTCCACTGGATAATGACATTTATATGCAGCTCCCATAAGGTTTTAAGCAGCCAGAAACAACAAAGTCTAGTTCTCGAGAACAATTCTGTATTAAATTAAACAAATCTCTTTATGGATTAAAACAATCTGAGCGTATGTGGTATAACCGTCTAAGTGAGTATTTGTTAAAAGAAGGTTATAAGAATGATCCTATTATCCCATGTATTTTTATAAGGAAATTTGGATCAGGATTTGTTATAATTACAGTGTATGTTGATGATTTGAATATCATTGGAACTCCTGAAGAGATTTCACTCTCGGTCGTTGTTTAAAGAAAGAATTTGAAATGAAAGATCTTGGAAAGACAAAATTTTGCTTAGGGTTACAAATAGAACACCTAGAGAATAGAATCCTTGTGCATCAATCAACATACATAGAAAAAGTTCTTAAAAGATTTTCTATGGATACAGTGCATCCAATGAGCAGCCCTATGGTTGTAAGATCCCTTGATGTAGAAAAGGATCTTTTTCAACCTCGGGAAGATGATGAGGAATTTCTTGGTCCTGAAGTACCATACCTTAGTGCAATTGGAGCACTAATGTACCTTGCAAGTCATACACGACCCGACATATCATTTTCAGTTAATTTATTGGCAAGATTTAGTTCATGTCCAACCCGAAGTCATTGGAATGGGATTAAACATATACTTCGTTACCTTCAAGGTATGAAGGATATGGGTTTATTTTTCCCTAAATTGTCCAAAGAAAATTTGGTTGGTTTTGCAGATGCAGGTTATTTGTCTGATCCACATAATGCTCGATCACAAACTGGATATGTGTTCACATACGGTGGTACTTCCATTTCTTGGCGTTCCATGAAACAAACCATTGCAGCTACTTCTTCCAATCATTATGAAATATTAGCAATTCACGAAGCTAGTCGTGAATGTGTATGGTTAAGGTCGGTAATCCAACATATAAAAGACGTTTGCGGTTTATCATCCAGGAAAGAGGCACCGACAACTTTATATGAGGATAATGCAGCTTGTATTGCAACTTAAGGAAGGATACATTAAAGGTGACAGAATAAAGCACATCTCACCCAAAGTTTTCTTCACTCGTGATCTTTAGAAGAATGGAGATATAAATGTTTTGCAGATTCGTTCAAGTGAGAATTTAGCAGACTTATTCACTATGGCTCTCCCTACCGCAACATTTAAAAAATTAGTTTATCGTATTGGATTGCGTCGTCTCAAATATCTTCAGTGACATAATAATGAGGGGGAGTAATTGTGTGCTGCACTCTTTTTCCCTTATCCAT